TGCTGCTTCTTCTGCTTCTTCCGTGGTTTCTTCTTGTCTTGATAAAAACCAATCAAGTCAACGGCGGAGCGGGCTGAGGAAACGGAAGTGTTGATTTCATTTCCAAGTTTTTGCCCCAAGCAATGAAGATTGTAAAAGTCGTTTTTACAAGAAACCTGTGAAACACGCATACAGTCACTGAGAATCGCGAGGAATTCCGATGTATCCTTGTCGTCCTCCAAAGTGACTACAACTTCACCGGTGGAGTTGTAAACAGCGGGGTCTTCGTCGCGCTTGACCGTGAGTACCTCCCGTTTCTTGAGAAGACACAATAGCTGTTTATCAGGTTTGCATTCGGTTGTCGGAGTGCATTCAAGACACAAATTCACTCTAGAACAGAAGTGGCGCAGGTGGTCCACAATGATGTTGTTTCTGGTGACGCGTTCTTTTGCATTATTGGTGGACTTCTCAATTGAACTCAGGAGAGACTCAACAACTGTAGGTTTTAAACCGTCATTGTCGACCAGATTAAAACAATCGGATATTGCACGGACACACAATCTTGAAATGAGATTATCCTGACTAATGAAGTGATTAAGTTGTTCCACATATGTCGCAACGTCGGCAAAACAAGCTTCCCACTCCGTAGAAACTGCCCATGACTTCCCATCTCTTGCGACAATCAACAATTCATCATGTGCCAATTGTAGGGTACATAGATTAGCTTTCATAAACAGGACAGTCATGTGGGTTGAAACATATGCCTCATTGACCATGTCCTGGAGACGGGCATTGATCAAATTTCGTTCAAGACCTTTGAAAAGCTTGTCTACTTGGATCTTGTGTTTCCTAAGCTCCTCGTCCGTCGTCTTGTGAGGAAAACGCAACAACAAGGAAATAAGATCTTTGTGTGTGGAGTGGCAAAGCTCTTGGATCAAGGTATTCCTTCCCCTTTTGGCGGTGGATGGATTCTTCTCCTTCTGCTGCAAAGATGGAAAACCATTAAGTTCAGACAACTGCATTTCAGGAATGTTGGGAATCGTTGCAGTACAGTTGTTGTAAATAAATATGATGAGAAAGACAGTGAAGAACAGATAAAATTTGGTAATGTGTTTTTGTAAATTGAAAAATAATGCTTGTTTGTAACACAGCTGTGATTATTTGTGTGTTGCAAACGGAGGAGCATCCACATAACGTTTTGCTATCGTTAGATTTCAAATAGTGAATGTGTGAATGGTTTCCACCGCCCAACTGTCAGTTGAAATGTAATCGTGATGAAAAGTACAGTTTGTTTGAGAAGCGATACTGCAGTAAAGAGAAGCAAATGGCACCGTCAGCGTGGTGGTCAAACGTTTTTTTAATCGTGAACAATTTTGTGTTCAACGACGTGAAACTGACAGTGGTGGGACTCAGGGTTACTGCTTTTACATAAACACAGAAGTAGCACTGGTTTTCCATAACTACCCAACGCAACCCTCGCAACTACCTTTTGGTTTAAATGCGACCAAAACCATGACATTCGAGAGGTTTGATGGATGCGAGAAAAAAAAGGGGTGCGTGTTTTAAAAAAAAGGTCGCAAGCAGTCGCTACTGGTCGCGAACACTTTTTGTGACGGACTGTCTCACGTACATTGTCACTTCTTTGCAACACCACAGTTCCATTAGTGTTGATCTCCACAATTGGGTAGGGACCATGTAATCTTTGGGATAGCTTGTCTGGTTCATAGTGTTTCATATAGGCCTGTTGTCCAACCTGATATTTGAAAGGTATTCTCCTAGCATTTTCTCCGCAGCATTAACAGCACATCTAGTAGCATGCATTGCTGAGGCAAGCGCGTTGTCAATCAGTTGGTCTTCATTGAATTCAGCTTCTTCAAGGGATTTGGTATGTAGCGTAGCCCTCAGAACATTAGCAATTGTCTGATGAACCCTCTCACAAACTGCATTTGCTTGTGGATTCTTCACAGTAGTTTGGACACTCTTGATTCCATATTGATTCAGTAACTGCTTGAAAGGGGTTCCAATGAATTATGTGCCATTATCATGGACACATCTGTTGGGTCTGGGATGACATGACAGCCAACAGTTGGCAAATGCTCTGCAACATGCTCACTTGATTTGTTGTTGATTCTTATTATTTCCAATAGGTTAGTGACTGGATCTATGCAAGTGAGAGCATTGATCACCAATTCAGTTTCATCCGGGAGAAGTATCTTCCACGGACCTATCAGATCCACACATATTTCATTCTATGGGACAAGCTGAGCTTCCTGAGCTGGTAACAACCCATGTCCCTGGCCTTTTTGTTTAAATCTGTGACACTCATCCGGACACTGATACTGCTTGCATCTTAGGCTGAGTCATGGGGCATAAAACCTAGCACTGACAGTTTCATATAATCTAGTGCTTCCGCAATGACCCAATAAGAGGTGGTACCATCTGAGGGTGCTATTGACCAGCCCTTCAGGCAAGTAGATCTTCCAGTTATTACCATTCATGGTTACTGTGAGTAACTCAAAGGTGCCTATCCTTCTCTTAACATAACATTGATCAGTTTCAAGTAGGTGTTGACACTGGGGGTCCGTGAGCTGATAAGTGTAAAGGCTTGCATTTGTTATTGGATTCTCCATCTCTGATACTGGTGGTAAATTAAGCAAGCACTCATATAGTTCCGGTTCCAAATAGAAAACATCTTCTGGATCCACTTGTGCTGTTAGTTCTTTGAAATTCACCATTGTTCCTTTATTTTGTTCATATATTTTCTTTTCTTTATCCCCCACAGTGCACAGATCCATTCTGGGCACTCGAGAGAAACAATCAGCAAGAACATTCTTCTTGCCTGGAATATATTGCCAGGTGATGTCAAATCCCTCAAGGGACAGTTTCCATTGAAGAACCCGGGACTGGGACAGTGTCCTGAAGATAAGGTTCTTATGATCTCTTATGATCAGTGTAGATGTTGATCTTGCTACCATAGAGCATATTCCGATACTCTTTGAGGCAAAGGATGACTGCTAAGAGCTCTTTTTCCATTGTGGTGTAATTGATTTGGGTTTTATTTAGCTTCTTTGACCAATAGGCAATTGGTTTGTCATTTTGGAGTATTGCTGCACMGAGCTGATAATCAGATGCATTAGTGTAAATGTCAAAGGGGACTTTCAAGTCAGCAAAGGTGTTGATAGCATCATGAGCTAGAAGCGCTTTCATTTCTTCAAAGGCTTGGTTGCATTCAGTTGTCCAAATGTAGGGACCAGATCCTGTGAGGGCTGCAAGCGGGGCAAGTACATGGGACTTCCTATCCCTTGCAATACATAATTATAACATGGTTAGTCATGTGATTTCTGATCCGTGGGGTAGTTACGAAGCCCGACTTTTATGTACATTCGATAGCATATGGTAGCAGAATATTTGTTCCAGACATTGATTCCGCCAAGGTTATTTTGAGAGTAATACTATTTGTGTGTGTAAATCTTGAGATTAAATTCCAAAATTTGTTGTCAAAGGGTACAGACATCGCAAAGTGTTGAGGTTGTGTATCACAACCCCCCAACATAAGAATATAGAGCAGTGCAAAAGGGATTGAGGGTGCAAAAACTGGCAGAATAAATTTTTGCGGTTAGTGAAACAAAATGTGTCACAAAATTAATCGCAAAATGGGGGTTGTCACCAAGCTTGATAATCATAAATTACCCGTGTTAAGTGGTTGCACAAAAACTATGCGCATGTTGGTGCGACCAAACCCTGCGATCACTTTTTGTGATGTGGTAGGGCTCTTCTTCGGAATTGTATTCCAAGGGATCACTTCTAAAGCAGAGATCTTGGAGACTGTATGAGAAGCTTTTGCCTTTGCCATTAGAAGGCTGGGGGAAGGCCAGGCAAGTTCCTTTGGTGGGGGAGGGTCCTTACTGGTTGGATCCAGACGGTCCTTGCCCTTTGGGTTGGGCCCGGTCATGGTTCCTGGTAGTTCGATGGTGCAAGTCTTAGTTGGCCTGTGTAGAATCTAGTACTAATTCTAAGTATAATTTTCAAGTGAGAATTGTATCTTTGTGCAAAGATGAAACACGGCTGCGTCTGAAAAAATTCGTTTTGAAAATTATGATAGTACTCGTAGTACTAGTATATAGCTTCCGAAGGTGCGAGTCTGAGTTGTCTTGTGTAGAATGTAGTACTAATTCTAAGTATAATTTTCAATTGGGAATCGTATCTTTGTGCAAAGATGAAACACGGCTGCATTTGGAAAAATTCGATTTGAAAATTATGCTCCTGATGGATTTTGATTCTGTCCTGGTCAGTAGGATGTTAGCAAAGTGTACAGAAGTAAAATTGTACTTGATTTTCTACTGTTGCAATTGTAGTTGCATTATGGTTGAATACCTCCAAGATTAGGACTCCTAATGTCAAGTGCAATAAAGTCAAGTGCATCAAGTACTTGGCAATTCCCCGGATGTCAATTTTTTTTATTTTCCCGTCTTTATTTCTCCTCTCCCCCCCCCTCCACACAAAAAACTATCGAGTCCCAAAATTTTTCTATTACTGCTGCTGGTCCTTACTACTGGGGATATAAAATCAGTGCTTACTACTTGAGAATTAATATTAGTGCTTACTACTTGATCACCTCCATTACTACTTACTAGTTGGGATGCCATAGTAGTGAACACTGCAAACTGCTGGGTAAGGGGGTTCTGTTGGTGCTACTCCGTAGTAAGCACTGATTTTATATCCCCAGTAGTAAGGACCGCTAATAGAAAATTTTGGGACCGAGAAATTAATGGAAATATTTTTATTTTCGTCCGTTGGATGCCTTTTTTTAACTGTAAAAATGAGCTAAAAATTTCTATTAGTATTTGTACGGGGATTGCCAAGTACTTGACTTTAGTGCGCTTGACATTAGGAGTACGGTACTCCCCACAATACTACCATACCGAAGGTTCCGAAATCCCGTGCATGGTGCATGCGATAGAAATCAAAAAACGACACGCACCGAAATCGAATCGAACCGAATAGAGTACTATAATGCAACTCTCGGATCCAATCGAACAAAACAGAATAGAACATCCGCACGGTACGTACGAATGCGTACTAGGACGAGTTACACTGGATCATACTCGGAATATTCTTGTGCGTTGTGCAATACCAACGTGTCTCCGACGGCAATGAAGAACGAGTCGAGCAGAATCACGGCGGACAGTGGGTGGGTAAAACGGGTCGATCCCGGCACCGGCCGGGTCTTCTATGCGAACCACATCACCCGCAAAACCCAGTGGGAACCCCCCGATGGATGGGTCGGAGAATCCCCCCCGACACCTCGGTTTCAGAGCCGCAACAACGAGGAGCCCCTGCCCTCCAACTGGGAGACCATGCACGACCCGTCGACCGGGAAGCCCTTTTACGTCGACCACGAACGAAAGATCACGCAGTGGACGAGGCCCAGGGCGGAGAAGCGGCAGGAGAAGCAGCTGCGGCCGTGGCAGCAACCGGCCAGTGCCGAACCGCCGAGGCCATCGCACAGCAAGGGCACCACGTCCTGCGGGTCTAACCGCACCTATTCCGAAGAGGCCGCTTACAACCAGCGCTTGCATTCCGGCGTGTCGTCCGACGTGGACCTCTCCGGATCGATGCCGGAACTCGAGTTTTCTGTGCGAAAGGTCGCCGACAAGCATCGATTGAATTGCGCACACTGCGCTGTCTTGTTCACCGTGAGCAAGCGCCGCCACCACTGCCGATTGTGCGGGGACGTGTTCTGCGATGCCTGCAGCTCGCACAGGGTGGACCTGCCGCTTCCGGGACCGGAGTTCGACAAGCCCGTTCGAATCTGCGACTTCTGCAACGAAGACGTTCGGCAGGGGAATTTCTTTTCTCTTCGACGGTACCTGACGCCTCTGGCGCTCTTTGATCCCAACCTTCCCGGCGACGGCGACTTCGACAACGCCGACGTACACGGAGTGGCCTCTTCCTCGAACGTGAACGCGGCGCTTTGCGCTCTGACCTCCGATCTCGACGAAGTAATGCGCAACACGAATGGTTTTGAGAAACGGGTCACGATTCCCCCTAGCGTTTTGGTCCCGAGCATCACCAAGCACCTGACTTCCAAGAGAGACACGGCGGATCGAGCCGTTAGGGCGCTGTCCAGCTTGCTCACGATAGGCTCTATGGTGGGCAAAAACGATTTTGCACACGCCGTGTATTTGTACGGTGGCAACACCGTTTTCGACAGCATCTTGACGATTCTCGAGCGGTCTGGATCGGACGAAAGGACCCTCTTTGTCCAAGAGCAGGCGGCGCGGGCAGTCTTTTACCTGACGGACGCGGAAGTATTGTCGACTCTCATGCAAACACATTCCCAGCTGGTGGCGAAACAAACGAGCAGCACGAGAAGCAGCGGCAGCACCGACGACGACGAAGGCATCGGGGATCTGGACTCACTCGACATCCAACGATCACTCGCTAATTTTCTGGACCACGCCTCTAGCAAAAAAAATCCAAACCTCCAGCGATGGTCTGCTGCCACCGTCCGCAACCTCGTCGTGGAAGATCAGCGCCGGTCCTGCCTGGCGATCAACGAGGTTGCGGCCTGTTTTGCCACGGGAGAAACAACTGCCTCCCTGGGTTACGAATCCCTTATAGATCAAATGGTCTCGTCCGGAGGAATCATGATTTTGTGCAGCCTCGTCGGAACCGACGATTCCGATACACGAACGCACGCCATCGCCGCCCTCGGGGCCGTGATCTCGGCCACGCGTGCCGTCGACGAGGCCCTTGCCTCGCTCTACGAGATGACCGGGGGCGTAGTGGGCCGAACGGACAAGAAGGACGGCGACATTCTTCGAGCCATATCCGCCAGCGGGGGCTGCGGTTCATCGGTATCGCAGCTGCTGCTTTCTGCCGACAACTCGGTCGCGAGCACGGGATGCCAGTTCCTTGCGTCCCTGGTGCGGCCTCTCTTGCTTGACCCGCTGGGTTGTGCCACACTGCCCCCGCAATACGATTGGCGCAACGACGATTCGGGAATGGGAGCCTGCCGAGAGGCAGCCATCGAAATTGCCAGCGAGAGCTGCTTGCCGGCGCTGGAATCCTTGGTGCGAGAAAAAGGTCGGACGAGTCGCCCCGCGGAGCTTCGGAGGCTGGCCATGGAGACCCTCGCCGCCACCGTCATGGCAGTGGGAGAAATGGGAAAGTCGTGGGCTGGAGGAAAATACGAAGAAGGGATGGAAAACAACGGATCTCCCGCCACTCTGCTGCGTGCCGTTGCCTCTCTCAACGACGAGGGCCTGATCGATATGGCTCTCGAAATACTTGAATCGTCTTCCATGCAATCCTTGGGGTCGACAAAGGATACTCCTACGGCAAGAATCAGAGAATGTGCCGGAATCGTTCTGGGTTCCCTCACGTCCTGTTCAGCGGAGGCGATTATGGAGTTGCACTCCCGTCATCTCCTCTCCTCGCTGGTGTTAGCCGCCAATGACGATAGCATGGCGGCACCGTCCAATCTGCGGGGAGACACATCCCCGCGGTGCCTAGGTATGCTGGAGGCGGCCTCGGCGGTGCTCATGTTTGCATGGCAGCATCCATCAGGAGCATCCTCCGAACTCCTTGATCGTTTGATAGAATTGCTCGATGCCGGAACCATTACCTACCTGTTCCGGATGATGACATCGAAAATCGATTGGGAATCACGCGACAAGTCGTCTGGCGGCATGAAGGCACGATCTGCTGCCTGTCGTCTCGTGTGCTGCCTGTTCGGAATAGCAATGACGGACAAAACGGCGATTGGAATGCGCCGGCTTATGGACGCATGTGACGAAGACGAAGCCCAGCGAATGGTTCGAAATGGCCCACGAAATATTATGGAGGCCGTGCTGACTGTGCTCCAAAAGTCACTAGTGGAAGCACACAAGGTTCTGGTGGGAGGAGCCAGCCGAGGTCCCCATTATCAAGCAGCCTTGCTGGATCTAGTGGAGTGCTCTATTCTCGCTACGGGCAGCATCTGCGGCTCTGCTGTTGCTCCGGATGGAGGAGATGGAACCATGATCAAGGGTGATGCGATGCTCTCGATGAGAGTCGACGAATTTGAATCGAGACGGAAAGAGGTCTGCAGTGTCGCCTGCGATGTTGTCGTTCGCGGCGGGCGTAGCGGGCCGGCACTGCTGCCGACTCTTTTGGTCGGAGGATTCGGCGAGGGTTCCGTGCCTGCATCTCTTCGGCTGGCTCTCGCCATTGCCCAGAACGGAAACGATGACCAGCACTCCAAACTTGCGCTTAGCGGACTCCTGGTTCCGGTGAGTGATTTGCTGAGAGTGTCCCTCGCCAGGGGCGATCTGTACAAATTTTCTGCCGCGCTCGCCCTAGTGCGGTTTTGTGGTCCACACGTGGCAGCGGGGGGCCGGGGCGGTGTACAATCGGTTCGGGAGGCTATCCGGGTGGCCACAAACGTTCTCACCCTGCCAAATTATTCTGATGCAAGCACGGGTCAAATCGAAAACTGGGAAGCTTTGAAGTCGGAATGCATCAACGCACTGGAATCTCTGAGCAAGAATGCTGCCCTCTGGAGTGCCATCTCCACTGACGCCCTTCCCTCGATTGTGACCTATCTTCACGATAGCTTCGAGGCGGAACACAACGTCCCCGAAACGAAATCGTCGGCATTGCGTGCCATTCTCCAGATTGCACAAGTACCGTCTCATGCGGTCTCGGCAGCAGAGGTCGGATTGGCCAGACCTATCGGGCTGCTGCTGAAAAGCAACAATGCTCTCTGTGCCCGAGGACAGAGAGTGGACAGAAACATGCAAGCACTGGGCATGGAAGTTCTTCATGTTCTCATCGCACGACCAGAGAGTCGAAGGCATTGCAACCTTCTACAGGGCGATATCCTTCGAGCCGTTTGCGCTGTTGTTGCTTTGAGTGTCACCGATGCATCCAATTACCAGTCAGAAACCATGGAGAAAATAACCGTTCTAGGCCTCGAAATTCTGCTGTTCGCTCTAGGAGAAGTGGAGTCGTCCGGAAACGAAGATACTGCGGTCGTCCTGCAATCACAGGGGGCGATTGCCTTTCTCGATGCGGTGTCCTCGGAGGGCCTTTTTGTCCGTACTTTGTGTAGCACTCTGTTGACAAAAACCGGTATGAAGATAATGTCGCACGAAAGCGGATGTGGTGACAAGGAAACGATCGACGTTCCCGACTTGTACGGCGATCCTCTGCTCTTTGTCGAGCAGAAATGTGCTGGTTTCGACAACACATATGATGCTGCTGCATCGATACTATTTGCGACCATGGCCTTTGCTTGTGCTATTGAATCGCACACAAGTGAAATCTTGTGGAAGTACATTCTTCTCCAGGATCTACACGAAGAAAGGGAGGTGAACGAATGCGTCCGAACATCGTCGACGTTTTGTGCAATCTATCTTCGTTTGTTGATGGAAGACTTTGTTGGATTTATACCGAAGAGAGCTGCCGGAAAGAGAGACTATGAGAACCTGACGCGGCCTTTGATCCGATACCGATTGTTGGAGTCACTGAAAACCGCACTCGATGAGCTCACAAGCGAGTCTGTTCTAGGCCACAGAGAGATTGACGCTTATATGCTTAGCCTTCTTGTGCATTTCAATGTACCATATATCTGCCTCTTGGTTTGGAGGGATCCTGCTCTGTTGGAACTTTCGTTTCAGCTTATCAAGGTGATGGTCGAAGCTGATCCGGACGAGGTTATTCATTTGTTTGTAGAGAGCAAGGAAGCGATAACGTCGCTCTTTGATCTTCTCAATTTAGATAGATCGACCGAAACACACATAGAGGTGGACGAAATCCAGCGGTTTCTTGCCATGACTCTGGAGAAATTGGCACAGGGTGGAGTGTTGGCAGATGCGGTTGAAAAGTTTGACGTAAGAAGCATTGCCATTACAGCTCTTGCTACGGCGTGCTTGAACGAGGAAGACCAGGCCGCCGATGACGAAGAAGAACTGACATCCAGCAAGCTGGCAAGTGATCTCATGCACACCCTGGTGGAACTGTGCACGGTTTCGAATGGTGAGGAGGAGAAGAAGATTGAGCTTACACCAGGAGAAGCTGAGGCGATCGCCGTGAGCCTTGGAGAAACGATTTGCAAGATGGTGATTGCCAGATTTCTGGAAAGAGCCAAACTTCAGCAGTACGAAATCGAAGAGGACGAAAACATCATGAATACACCAGATGTTGCTATGCTCTGCGCCATCTCTCAGCACGATATTGCGCTGCAAAATCTTCGGTCTTTTGGAGGCCTCCATGCGATCGCAATGATTGCTGGCGAGGGAGAAATCACAGCCATTCTTGCACTTCAGAAAGGATGCAAGGAAGATCCATCACTGCTGATCGAAGCCGACACATATGCATCTATCCTTTCCCTATTTTCTCTTGAGAAAGACCATCTACTTTTCAAGCGTGACAAATTACTAGGTTGCAAAGTTGAAACTGCGGCTTTTGAGCTTCTTGCCCAACTGTGTGTGGCTTCATCGAAGGGCAGACTTGCCGTCGCTGGAGCTCGGGACTTTCAAAACTCATTAGACACGGCGTTACGAATCATCAGTGAAGTTGTTCTACGCATAAACGACGAACCAGCAGCCGAAGAAGACAAGAAGCTGAACGAAATCGAAGATGAAGAAAAAGAGGGTGAAGGCAGCCGCGACTGCCAAAATGCTCCGAAGTCGATGGGTGATCCGAAACGCCTTGGGGCGGCCTACTCGTTCCTATCAGCAATGACTCCCATTCCTAGCGCTCGGATTACCCTATTGAATAATGAGAAGTTCGTCCAGGCGTCTTCGACCTTCATCTCTGACAATAGTGACAGAAACCTGCAGTTTGCAGCACTCAGAGCTGTTGTGAAGCTTGCTCCTTATTCCACTGGCAATGGGCCACTTTCAACCGATAACGTCGGAGACTTGCTTCAATCAGCGTTGGCTGCCGAGCCGAAATTTTCCGATGCTAGTAGCACTGGATGGAACAGGAATCTGTTTCATGTTCAAGCTGCGGAGGGAATTCTCTCCGTCTTTGATTCCCTCCCGGCATCTAAGCAGGAATGTATTTTCAAGGATGTAATCAGAAGATATATCAAGCTCCTGAAGAGTCACAGCATCGCAAGATCCACGAAAATGAGCGAACGAGCACACGCTGGGGAACTTGCGTATAACCTCACAACGTTGATAATGGTTGCAAGAGGCAAAGATTGCATAGCTCGGCTCTTTGATTCGGATGCAACCGTTTTGCTTGTGAACACGGTTCAGTGGAGATACGACCCAAAAACCGTTGTCGAACCAGATGCTGCAACGTTCTGGGACGCTACCACAACGCAGTGCTTACAAATTCTGGCGCAGCTTCTTTGTTCAGATATCTCCTCGTCGAGAAAGTCCGGAATCAATGTGCGAAGCTTGAAGAACAGCGTTTTTATGGTTGCGAGAGTCGGGAAAGCTCCTCGCAAAGCTATTGACTTCATTTCCGCTCTCAAACTTGTTTCAAAGAATGGAGAAGCTGCTGCCAAAGTGGCCTCGCAACGCATACTTTCCTACATGAACAATAATAATACTTCGTGATCGATAGTAATATTTATATTATTAGAACACATTGCCCTCGACGCTGAATCAAGACAAGTTGCAACCGTTTTCGTTTTATAGCTTCCTGCTTCTGCTAATGCGGCTCTTGATACCGGTTTGTTCGCCGCCGTACCGGTTGCCTTCCCCGGCCTCCCGCACCTCGCGGACAGCTCCCTTTCGTCGAATGAGCGCCCTGCGGTATTGCTCTCGCTTCTTGACACGGGGGTTTCGATTAATCTTGGCCTTGTGAGCGACCAGCCCACGATTCTTGAGAATGACCCTACCGATAGAGCGCTCGCCCACCACTTCGCCGTCGACCCGTGGAAATTTGGGAACCACCCCGTACAGGCTCGTCCGAAGGAATTTCCTTTCCTGGCTCTGGGCCGCTATCCGGTCGTAAAAGCCAGGCTCCCCGGCGTCCGGATCTTGGCCGTCGCTCGTTTCCGCGTCGTCCATTCGCTCGTAGTCGCCGTTTTGGTCGAGCTTGCCCAGTTCTTCTTCCATCATCTTGATTCCGTGAACGACCCGGTCGTCATACTCGTCTATGTCGTCCAGGTCTTCCGCCATCACTGGTGCAGGCCTCCTCTTCCTCGAGCGCTGCTCGATCGTGTTCACGGCCGAGGCAAGATGACTGTTGCTCGTGGCATGGTCCCTTTCGAGGTCTCCGAAATCGTCCACCATAGGCATGCAGATAGTTTTTCGGGACGCCCTGCCCGACGTGTTAGCCTCGTTCGGACGAAGGCCAAATCGTGCTTCGTTCAGTGTTCGTTCGAAGTCTTTCTGCTTCTGTCTGGCAACAGCCGCTCGCTTCTCCTCCTCGAAGTCGTCGCCGTCGCCGCCGTCCGACCTCCCGTTGCTCAATTCGTCTCCGTCGTCGATAGCTCCTCTCTTGGGTTGTTCCAGGTTGCGGTCGTCGTTCCGTTTCGCGTTGGTTTCCGATCCATCGCATGTGCCACGGACGGCGGAGCCGACACCATCGTTTCCGCCCAAATACTCCACAAGCGCAGCCGCCTCGATCAGGTTGTCCAGCTGTAGGGCAATGTCGCTTGTCTTCCTCTGGACATCTTCCTCAAGCCGTCCGAGCAGGGAGGTAAACTTTTTCAGCTGGTCCATGATCGGGTGAGCCCGGATGTTGGTGGTGGCATCCTCGTCACCGACCAAAGCTAACCTGAGGAGAATGTAGACCACAGAATTCAGAGCAAGTGATTTTTGTACCATTGCTTTCGTGAGAAGGTATTGCTGGCCTTTGATGGTAGCTCCCACGCTCTGATAGTTTTGTTTGTCCAATTAGCAATCAAGAGACAAAGAGTTCCGAAAATTGCAATGGTAAGATGCACGTGTCCGAGACCCCAGGTAGTCGGAAAAAGAAGGGTTTCAAATGGGCTCAACGGACTCCGTTACCACATAAGTACAGACAGTTTTACTGAATTATTGACTCCAGTACCACTGATTGCATTCCGCGAAACCAAAGAAAACCCAACCTCCGTAGAATCCACAAGACATGACTTACCTCAGCGGTTCCTTCCCCATCCAACAATGCAGTCACACCAACCTTGGTCCTGACCTTTACATCCTCGACGATGTTGGAGAAGTAGGTGACCATCGGCAGGAGCTCTGTAATGTGTTGCATGATTGAGCCAAATGCATACGTTACACACATTGTACACGATCCAAGCAAGCACAACGTCGTGAGGCAAGATTACAAGACCCGAAAGAAGGCAATACCATTGCCAAAAAAAATAGTGTTTCCAACACGTATCGTACCTGGGAATTGTTGTTCGAGCAGCTTTCGGGTTTCCTTCTTGGACAACCTGGAGACATACCTGATGGTCGTCGGCTCCTCGTGTTGTTTTTTGGTGGTGGTCATCTCGTTCTTGCTTTCAGCTCCGTCGTTGCCGTCTTCGTTGTCGTTTTCCGACAGCACAAAGTCGTAGTCGTCCATTTCCTCGAACCGAGAGGCCTGAATCTCCTGGGCGGCCTCTTCCTCGAGGTAGGCATCTTCTTCCTCCTGTCCGATCTCGAGGTCCGCCGTGTCACCGTGATAATACAGCGACTTTCTCTTTCCCCAGTTCCGTGGGTCGTCCTTGCTGGCCGGCTCCGAGTCGCCTTCATCAATACTGCGGTTGCTGCTCGACACCGAATCGTCTTCCTCCGACGACCAGTACGGATCGGTTCCTCCCTGATCGTTGTGCCACCCCCCGCTGCCATCCGAGGAGGACAATGAGTCGTCGCCGTCGTTGTCACCGTCTTCCTCCTCGCTGGTCGTCTCCCCCGCTGCCAGGTCTAGGACGGAGCGGGTGGTTCCCGCAAGATCCTCGTCCTCGCTGTTGGTCTGTCCACGTGTTTCGCGGTCCAGCCGAAGAACGTCGTAGTCTTTTTCGTTGTGAAAGCGGTCCACTTCGCCGTAAATAGGATTCTCGCCGGTTTTTGTTCGTCGCTTGCGTTCGCCTTCGTGGTCTTGTCCGTGTCCGTGTCCATGTCCGTGTCTGCCTGAACGTTTGCTGCCGAGTTGGTTTCCGAGTTGCTCCCGAGACCCGTACAGCGCCTTGTCGCCAGTCTTTGCCGTCTTTCTCTTTCCCATTGTGTGCAGTGTTGTGTCTGCTTTTGCAGGTGCTTACGATGCTGTTGCAAATGCCAATTTACAGATGCCGGCTCAGATGCAAATGCAGATGCAGATGCCGACTTGCAAATGCCGATCCTTTACGCTTGGTTCGTCAAGACTAGCTTTTTTGGATAGGTGCTCGAGAAGGAGATCTAGTACGACCACTGTGGTTCAGTTGTTTCGCTGCACTGGATGTATCCTTCTTCCCCGGAAACACCAACAAAAAGAAGTCCACTAGCGACAACAAGAACAACAGCAACAAAAATGCGAGGCCACGAATGGGCTGGGCGTTCGTGGGCGGGTTTAGGTTTTGCCTACGGTACGGCTCACGATTGGTGGCGAGGCCACAGAACCGAAACGGGGCGATGACAGACGATGCAATTCGTCTTTTGCGGTACGCTGCAAGAGGAAGTCGGAACAGACACCAGACCTTTTCGGTACTGTACTTTGTACGTACGTATATTGTTTGGTACTTGCCTGGTACTTCCATCTGAACCATCTTGAAGTTGTTCAAGTGGCACGCATTGAGTTGTATGTAACGTGAAGTCTTCGTTATCTAAGGAACTACTAGTACGAACTACAGTACTGTATTTTGGCACTGGTCCTCCATCCTATTTTAACGGACGAAACTTCCATAAGATTCGAAAACAGAAAAATGTCGAATGCTGTACCTCGTAACAATGTTCGAAATTCGAACTACGACGTTGTCCTGATTATTTTTGTCGCTGTTGTTTTAGTCGGCAAGCTTGAACAATTACACACTACAATAGCACAGGTGCCGCATACCACTTCGACCATTTTTGTTGAGGGATTCGCTGCGGGGGGGTTTGGAGAAGGCGGGTTCGGTTCTAGTCCGAAGGCAAATCATGGCAACAAAAAGGCGAACAAGAAGAAGAAAAAAAGACAAAGCCTTATCGAAATTACGGACACGACAGCGACCGCCAAAAGTAAAGGGAAAGGGAACTCTCCTTCATTAGAGACTGAAGAGCCGAAATTGGACAAATGGGGCTTGCCTGTCGCAACCCTAGAAGATATATTCCCACCGTTGCCAGCATCGACGAAGCGCGAACCCGTCGATGCGTCGAAGGACTACTATGAACTTTACGAAATCCAAGAATGTTTGAAAGATCACGTTGATTTAGGTGACCTCTCTCGTGTTTTTGACAACCAGGGCTTCGCAAAAATTCCCAACAAAGATGGATCTACCATGCGTCTAAGATTGCTTCATCGCTCCCCTCCAGTTTTGACTTTAGACAACTTCTTGACCGCAGACGAGTGTCAAGGCGTTAAAAACGTATCAGAAAAAGAATCATCGACGCATCGCGTTGACTCGGCGACCTTTAAAGGCGCCCTGAGCACCCGCACGTCTACATCTTGGTTTTGTAACTACGCCGATGTTCCAGTACTTTTGGCAAAAGCTCATTACATGCTTGGCATTCCGCTTGAAACAATTGAGGAACCACAAATCGTCCGATACAGAGGCGGGGAAGAATTTTCTTGGCACTACGATGAAGTTCCTCCATCGCAAATATTGAACGGCGGTCAGCGTGTTGCGACACTTTTGGTTTACCTCACGACGGTTCCATCGTGGAAAGGGGGTGGAACTACCTTCCGAGATTTGTACGAATCGACGTCCTCGTCCTCGTCGCTAGTGATGCAGCCCCAGAGAGGAAGCGCGCTGTTGTTCTTCCCATCGTTAGCTGATGGAAATCCCGACGATCGGACTCTGCACAAGAGTGAAGTCTTGGTTAGCAACGACCAAGACATAGACGACGAGGATGATCACAAATGGATCGTTCAGATGTGGTCACACCAGTACGACTACCAAGCTGCGCTCCCGATTGGTAATTCAAACAAAGCAGCTCGTGATGTCATGGAGAAGACTGGTGGTGAATTGGGTTATGTATAGCATGAAAGATTTACGGACGTCAGTCGACCATGTCCCCGTCAGTGAGTAACATGCACAAATGCCTTTGTAAGTACAAAGTCACGTAGACATCTCATAGAAAATATGATCAAGTTGTACCGTTTTTCTCTCCTTGAAACCCGGTCAGTGTAAAAAAATAAGATTGTTTTACCTCATGAACTAGAAGAGGCACTATATGGCCAGAACCATAGCTTTGGGTGTAAAGTATGCTTCTCGTGTGCAATAAGCAATTAGTGTAGTCTAATTGTAGGACAAAACAAACAGTACAGTGTACTCTAAAGACTTAGCAAATATGGTCGGCGCTATGCTCTTTGAAGAGTACACCACCATTCAGTTTAGTGAGCAAATCAGCAGTGTTCTTGGTCCCCGAAATCTTGGCGACCTGCAAAGTATCCACCAAGTGAAATTGAATCTGGTTACCTCTTTGGTAACACTTTTGATCAACACTTTCATCATCCTTAGTTCCTTGTTGTCCTTGGTTATGTGTCAGTCACTTGGTGAACCTCAATCAGGAACTCATTTAGTGAGTGGGAAACCACAGCCAAAAGGTGTACAAATAAGACATAGTGATGTGTTCTGGCTTGATTGGAAACAATTTTGACTGATATATCAATCTTCAGTATTATGGTCCCTAGAGACAGTCAAGTGAAATTAAATCTGGTAACCTCTTTGGTAACACTTCATTGCCAAAATCTCTTAGTTGTACCATCGATCGGTACTTTCATCATCCTTAGTTCCTTGTCATCCTTGGTTATGAATATTCACAACCTTCTTGCTCACAATGGTTGTTCTTCTTGTATAACACTTGAATGGAAGCATGTTATGAACAGTACTCATCTCTCACACACTTAATCCAGTCTCTGGGAACAGTGTTTAAACACTGAATGACAAGATTATCATCAGTATGACCAAGTGGGAAATCACAGTTGAAACACATGCAAATAATGCATGATGATGAAGTCAACTTTAATCCTTTCACATGATGATGAAATCAAGCTTAATCTTAATGCCATTTGCAAATGTCATCCGGTCCCTGGGTTAGTCTCTGTAACACAGTCTGGAAACAGCAACGACTGGTGTATCATCAGTGCCAATAGGTACATAGTTGTCACTGTAAACAGTATTATCCTTATTACGGTTCCCAGAGACAGTCATCCTTGTCATTTGCCTTGACAGACTTGTGCACGAGATTACGTGTACTCTTAAGTGTGTATGAAAATAAAATTATAAGATTAAGATTATTGAACCTCGAAGTGAGATTTCCGAAGTTCCGATTAGTTACTTGTGTAGATCTGGTACTCAATCTACACGGGGTTCTTACTATTCAGAACTCATGACATCTTTGTTCCGTGCGAGGTATTCTATTTCTGATATCGTGGACCTCTTGCGTGTTCAATGTTCGGTCCTCTTATGATGCATCCTATGATAC